ACCAAATGATGTTGCATGTGTTCAAAGTGGTCAAAGAATTCAACCAACATAAAATAACATTATTGTAATAGCCTGAATATGTTCACACAAGAGCATAGTGATAGCAAAGCTTATTCATGGCATTACCCAAAATGGAATTGGGGCCCAGATAGCTACTTAATTTATCAAGGATGTAAAACTATCAGCTTTTCCAGGAAGCCCTTACACTGGCTGCCTATTCTGTAGTTAGTATCACCATGTTTATTTAACAGTGGAATAGATTTTTTTTTTAAGATTTTATTTACCCAGAGAGAAAGAGACACAGGCACAGGCAGTGGGAGAAGCAGGCTCCATGCAGGGAATTCGACGTGGGACTCGATCCCAGGTCTCCAGGTTCACACCCTGGGCTGAGAGCAGCACTAAACCACTGAGCCACCTGGGCTGCCCTGGAATAGTTTTTTTACTTGTTACCGATATTTCTCTCTTAACCGTGAGAATATTTCTTCCTTGTTAGGAGAAGCTCTCTTTTAAAATACTGTTTATAAAAAGATACTCAAGGAATGGATTTTAATTTATATTAACTAGCCTCCCCCTGCCCAATGTTGAAAATAATTCCAAACAGTTTTCCTTAATAGAGCAAATTGGCAAAATTTGAACTCAGGTTTAAAAATAATTCTGAATTTTATTTGTGAGCTATACATCCTTCAGATTTTTCCAGTTGTAAAAAAAAGCAATCTCAATTTTTAATGAATTATTTAATTAACTAATTTAGTTGTTATGAAGCACAACAGATTACTATAGTTATATAATTTTCCACATTTTAATCTTAATTATAATCCTATGAAACTTATTCTACCGCTTTTTTTAAAAATTATTTAATTTAATTAATTAATTAATTTATTTTTAAAATTATTCTACCGCTTTTAAAGATGGGAAGTCTGAGGTGCAAATAAAGAGTTAACTCAATGTTTAACTTCTATTAAGTGCTTATAAATGCTAGCTATATTGATTCCTCATATTTTGGGTTTATTTTAGTATTTGGCATTTTTGCAAGTGCCTAATAATACTCAGTTATATTGAAACAAATGCAGAAACACTTCACATAACATGCTTAAAATTTACAAACCACTTGTGAATAGGAATTATATACCATATATATCTGATATACCAAAAAAAATTAGAGTATTCCTATTTCATTGTGTCCTAGATGCCATTAATCATATGACACCTTAATTTATGTACTATTAAAAAATGTTATCAGTAAAGGTAGGATGCAATGTTACCATCAACAATAGGATGCATTCTGATTTTAAAAACAAAATGTGAAAAAAATACATTGTAGGATCAACAAAATATAGTAATTGATTTTTGAAATTAGACTACTATCAATCTGAACATTTAGAGCATTATGTAGTGCATTTTAAACATTTATCAGCTTGTTACTAAGTTTATCAAATTTTGTGTATTATTAAATTCTCAAAAGTGAAGGAAACAAAACTAAAAGGCAACCTATGGAATGGGAGAAGTTACTTGCAAATGACATATCTAATAAAGGGTTAGTATCCAAAATATATAAAGAACTTCTAAAACTCAACACCAAAAAATCTGAATAATCCAATTAAAAAATGGGCAGTACACATGGACATTTTTTCAAAGAAGAAATTGTTCTGGTTTAGTGCTGCCTTCAGCCCAGAAATGGCCACATTACAGATGGCCAACAGACACATGAAGAAATGCTCAACATCACTGATCATCAGGGAAATACAAATGAACATGGGGAGAACAAAAAGAGAGGCAAATCAAGAAACAGACTCTTAATTGTGGAGATCAAATCGAGAGTTGCTGGACGGAGGGATTGGGATTAAGGAGGGCACTTATGTTGAGCACTGGGTGTTATATGTAACTGATGAATCACTAAATTCTGCACCTGAAACTAATATTGCACTGTATGTTAACTATCTGGAATCTAAGTAAAAACTTGGAAAAAATAAAAAGAAATAAGATAAAATAAAAAATAAAGCAGAAAAAAAGAAAAAAGAAAAAAGAAACGAACAAATGAGCAAAGGGAGAAAAGAGAGAGAGGCAAACCAAGAACCAGAAACAGACTCTTAACTACAGAGAACAGACTGATGGTTACCAGATGGATTGGGTTAAAAAGGTGATGGGGATTAAGGAATTCATTTGTTGTGATGAGCACTAGGTGTTGTATGGAAGTGTTAAATCACTGTATGGTATGCCTGAACCTAATATTACACTGTTGTCTTTTTTTTTTTTTGTATATATTTTTTGAAGTTCGATTTCCCAACATACACTGTTGTCTTAACTGGAAATTGAATAAAAACTTTAAAAATTGCATTAAGTTTTCAAAAGTAATTCAGAAATAACCAAAAAAATATAGCATTTAATAATTGTATGCAAAATCCAGTAGAATTTTTAACTTTTCAAAACACTGAATCATATCACTTAGAAAATCAGTTTGAGGGACCAAATACTCTCTAACTTTACTTACAAATCACTCTAGGTAGAAGTTTCATATGATATTGCTGTATCTGTAAGCTTTGAGCCTATGATGTATGGGCACACGAAACAAAAAAAAAAAAGACTTGCAGCAAATTAACAGATTGATGCAGAATGGAATCTTTTGCTCAGTGGAAGATGGGCAGTAATTTGCTACTTGCAGCTGACAGCTCTACAGTAGAGACACAGTAGCAAAATTAGTGAAGTTCAAAACATTTCCTGACATAAGCTGAGGCATGAAAAACAACCCATTTTGAGGAGAGTTTATTGGCATTTTTGAGCTCTCAGAGAGAATTGGTTTACTTCAGAATATAACATTAAATTTGAACAGAAGAGTAGATTGATACAGGTGTAAAAGTTTCCATGTAGTTCTACTGCTTTTAAGATTTGGTGTTTGTTTAATGTAAGTTATTTTAGCCAGTTTTAGTTTTACTTTTGCAGATGTAAGTTCAGTGGTTCATGCTTTCGTTTTAAGCCTTACGTATCTCTTAAATTCTTCAGAATTCTTAAAAATTTGGGAAATTCTCTTGGTGAGGAAAATTTGAATTCAGCTGTTGATTTAACCAGTATGGAAACTTAGGTGAACTGTTGAATTTTAATTGTCTTATGCTCTATTTTATCTACTTGCAAAACATTAATGTTAATTCTTTTGTGAGATGCTTGAGGATTCTTTGGTTAAATGCAAACTTTGCACAAGAAGCATTTTATAATTAGGTATAATGGGAACCAAATTTTTTAAAAAGGCTAGGTGTTGAAACTGATATCAAGTTTTTATCTCATTAATAAGAGGCTAGAAAAACAAAGCAAGTTCAATCCTAAGTAGCTGGTTTGAATTTTACATATGTTAGCTCTACAGATAATTTTTTGTGCACTTCTGCTAAATCTATACACTTGTTGATAAGTAATTATAAATTTGTTCTAGGTCCTGGAAGATGAAGAGGTCTGTAAAATGGTATCTTCAGGCACCGTGGAAAGCACAACTGAGGCTCCCCAGCCACATCCCCATGACCACCACCTTCACCATCATCATCATCATCATCATCATCATCATCATCATCAGAAGCATTGGCATCAGCCTCATGAGAATGATGAGCTTTCAGAGAATCAGCAACCAGAAGAACCAGATGTTTCCAAGCATCCTGCACCTCAAGGCCTTCATCGCCACCATAAGCACAAGGACCACCAGAGACAGGGCCACCCAGACAACTGAGATATGCCAGCAGGAAGTGAAAGTTTACAACTTTCTGTTCCACAAAATCAGCTCTGACGAAAGGGATGTAGAAACCAGTTACTCTGCAAATTGCCTAGAGATTCAGGGTTGGCCCCTAGCAGCTGATGCTGACACTGACGACATCTGATATTTGAAAAGACAGGGTCTGCAATCACCTGACAATGTAAAGAAACCCTCCCCTCTTTATGCAGCTGACAGGGACTTTGGGCAGAGGAGAACGTCATTGAGTCTTGACAGTGACGTTGGCCTCCAGCTGCATGACAAGCAAGTCAGCAGCTCAGGCCCACAGAAGCCAGCACCAACTGAAGCTGAAAATATAAGACCAAAATGTGAAAATGACTTCCATATTAAATACTTTAAATAGGATATATTCCCCAAGTCAGTCTAGACAATTTCATTTCCAGCTTTTTATAAGCTACCACAATAATAATGATCCAAAAATAAGAATTAGATTTGTACAAAGAAATCTATTATATTGGCCTCCAAATTTTAAAATATAAGTCAAAGAAATTTTGACCCAAACCATATTTTCATTATTTTATTATAAAGGTGATTGCAGCATTTGGTTAATATGTCTTTCTTTTTCTTTTTCCAGCATTCTACTTGCATTAATGAAAACAGAGACATAAACTATGACCTAGGGGTTTCTGTTGGATAGTTAGCAATTTAGAATGGAGGAAGAACAACAAAGACATGTTTTCCATTTTTTTCTTTACTTATTTCTCAAAAAAACATTTACTCTTTTTAATCTTACATTTTTAACTGATTAAACCTTTAAAGAACTCAGTGAATTCTATCTTTTAGGTTCCAGAAATACTGACACAAATATTTTAAATATCCATTTACACTTTGTATATCTAAGAGTCATATCTTGGTTTTTACTATCACATATACATGAAGCCTTTATATCTTGTTTCTTTATCTAGCATTGTATCAGCCTCTTTAAAATTTGAGATAGTCTATCTTGAAAGTTGTAATGGAAAAGATAAAAGAATGTTGTCTATATCTTGATTGCTTAGAAAGTACTTCCATAGTCAATGATGGTTCAATAGGTAAACTAAGTCCTATAAACCTGAACTCCTATATGGTTAATACTATTAAGCAAGAATGTAGTGCATAATTGACCAAATGTGGATTTGTTTAAATAAACTCAATTTAAAAAGTTTAAAGCTCTCTTTTCTCATTATTATTTAGGCAATATGTTAATGATAGAGGTAAATTTTCAACTGCTTTTAGAGAAATTGAGTAGCAACTAATGAATTTACTGCCCTAATCAAAACCGTCTACGCTTAAGGTAAGAACCTTTGCCAATAGGTTTAAGCTGAGAATCTTTGTCAAGAGAGAGGCGTTGCTCTAAATCGTGAATGGTATTACGAAGAACTGCAATCTCTTTGTTTTTTTCTTCTTGAAGATGTTGAAGCTTCTAAATAAAACAAATAAATTTGTTATTGCTATTCAGAAATAGTAAGATTGAATACAAGACACAATTAAACAAAAATAAAAACTGCATTTCTGGTTTAAGTAGATATTTTAAAAGACAGTTTAGGGGCAGCCCGGGTAGCTCAGTGGTTTAGCGTCGCCTTCGGCTAGGGGTGTGATCCTGGAGACCCAGGGTCCGGTAGCACGTCAGGCTCCGTGCATGGACCCTGCTCTCCCTCTGCCTGTGTCTCTGCCTCTCTCTCTCTCCTCTCTGTGTATTCTCGTGAATAAATAAATAAAATCTTTAAAAAATAAATAAAAGCTTATTTTGAAAGGTTTATAATTTTATTTTTAGGAGGCTTATGGAGTAGAACTGGAATAAGGATATCAAAATATATATTAGTACCATTTCTTCTGATTTATTCCCTCCTCTCTATATAGCTGAAAGTTATAAACCATAAAGGAGGAGCTGAACAAAAATCTATTATCTGAGTGCCTAAATAACTTCAGAATAGTAGGTCAACTTGAGTTCAGACTATATTATAGAATTCCTTAGATGGTCCAGAGTCAAAGAACTTCTCTAACGTTTTAATTTACTGCTAAGATTTATAATTTTAAATTGAAAGTGAATTTTAAAGATTTTATTTATTTATGTTACACACACACACACACACACACAGAAAGAAAGGTAGAGAGAGAGAGAGGGAGGGAGCATGCTTCTACCTGCATGCAGTTGGGAGGGGCAGGGGGAAGGAGAGGGAAAGGGAGAGGGAGAGAGAGAGAGAATCTCTCAAGCAGATTCCATGCTGAGCGCATAGCTGGATGGAGGGTTCAATCTCATGACACTGAGATCATGACCTGAGCTGAAATCAAGAGTTCGATGCTTAACTGAGCCACCCAGGCACCTCAAATTGAAAGTGACCTTTAAAGATTATTCAAAACTCAGTACCTTTCTGATTGTGTGATATATTTTAAGAAAAACTGTTAAGTACATTAATAGTAAATACTAGATAGCTTTTATAGAAACACATTAAAAAGATTATTTTCTTAAGCAATAGCTAAGGAAGAAAATCTCACATACCCTTCTGTAGATACTCTGTGGCAAAATAGTAGAATCTGGATATGGTTTTGATTTAGTTTGAACTCTTGCTAGTTTGGCATCAAACTGAATCAAGTTTAAAAAGAAAGTTAATTGAGAACATTCTAGCTGGACAATATAGAAACAATTATTTCTATAGCTCTAAGCATAATCCATTATATTTTTTAACACACCTATAATTTAAGTATATTCTCTGTATAACATAAGATACAGAAGTCTTTCTTTAAGAAACAGTTTTTAAGAAAGAGCAAAGAACACTCAATCAAGAGTAATTTTGCTGCATGTTAAAATTACCTGGAGAGTTTTTTAAAAGTACCAAATGCCTGGGAAGTACGTTAGATTCTGGGATAGAGTCAGCATAATATTTTTGTTAAGACATTAGGTAGAGAATCTAGATAAGCAGGATTGGGAATCTAGTTAACTTAAAGATGGATAAAAATATTTTCATGTTACCATGAATGTCCTTTTATAAAAAGAAAACATAGTGTAGTCAACAGTCATAGGATAAGAACTCATATACCCTTCTGTAAAACCCTTGAGGCTAAGTAGTAGAATTTGGATACCATTTTGTTGATTTAGTTTGAACTCTTACTGGTTTGACATTAAACTGAATCAGGTTTAAAAATTCTCATAGGTCATTCTTACAGGTCATATATATATATATATATGTATATATGTATATATGTATATATATATTTTTTTTTCTTCAAAATCTTCCATTATAATTCTTCCCTACAGGCTGAGTTCAGTGTAGTCTCTCTGTGGTCTAAACACAAACTGAGATTGGATTGTGTTCTGGTTTACGGAGGGAAATGGATATCTACAATGAAGATGAACAATGAAGAGCATTCTATGTATCAGTATAACAATAGACTTGGGCTCCAGTGACAGAGTACAGATATCAAACAAAATGCACATTTTCAGTAAATGGATAGGAAGTTGATGGTAGATCTTGAAACATAGCCTATTGTATCTCAGTGGGCTATTCAGCCCATCCTCTCTGTGGGTTGTGGGCATACTTGACCAGAGATGGTAGCAGCAGCAAAATGCCTCTCAAGTCAACATCAGTCCCCTTTTGCTCAAAGATTCTACAGATTTCACCATCGTACCTCACCAAGAGATACCAAACTTTCATGAACATGAATAGGAAGTTATCTTAATGAAGCTGGTGAATTCTGACTACATAAGGTAAAGTGGGAAAGAGCAATGGAAGAATGATGGAAGTGGAGATGACTAGAAGCAAGAAAAAAAATTTTAAAGAACAAATATATTGTCAAAACATCTATGTCTTTGAGATTCTGACATAGGTTAAACAACCTCCTGAAAAGGCTTTGGAGCCTAGAACTGGAACTGTAGCCTTTGATATGCACTATTTGAAGTTCCTTTAACATAAAAAAAAAACTGGTTTGTGTGCCCGTATAAGTATTTTCTATACGTTTATGAGGGAGCCACTTACCAATTTTTAAAAGCTGAAGGAATTTCTAATTGATTTACTGTGGTACCACAGTTTCTGCTGAGGAGAGAAAAATGTTAAGAACTAGAAACATTCTCTCCACTGCTGGAATGGTAGTCCTATGAAGCTTACATAGACTCAGCTGCAAAGTGTGGGGAAATCTTGAGTTACAAATCTCCAGTCTCAGAGGAAACAGTACCCTCTGTGGAAACCAGGACCCTTTGAACAACTGAAGAGTCCTACCTTCGGGCCAAGTGCTGAAAGGCAGGGTAGCTACCATTATCTGATGTTTGAGAACTGCTTGTGATGGAGAGTGAGGCTGTGTGTGTGTGTGTGAGTTGGGTCTACTCTTGAAATTTATCTCACTGTGATGAAAAAAACCCAAAGTCCAGTCTCGACTAAGAGATGCATCTTCAAATTTAGCAGGCTTGTGCACTTACCTCTAATTGTAATTTGATTATTTCACTTTGTTTTTCCTTTTCTTGAGTTCTTAACTTTGTATTTAACTCTGAAATTTCCAGCTCCTTTTTCTCTAGCAGTTCTTTATGTTTTTCTTCATTTGACTCAACTGAACAAAAATAAAATTAACTCATCTTAACATTTCAAAAAGCTTATAAGCTTGTATTTCTTAGCATTTTAAATAATCTATAAGATAAATTTTATTAATAAAAACATATCTTTTAGAAACCATTTGTATGCAGGGTAGCTTTTATGTATTTTTGACAAGCCCATGCAAAATGCTTGAGACATAAAGATTACCCATGAAATGCTTTTTAAAAAATATTTTATTTATTTATTAGAGAGAGAGTACAAGCTGGGGAGAGGGGCTGGGGTGGAGGGGAGGGAGAAGGAGGCTTCTTGCTGAGCAGGGATCCCAATGCAGAGCTCCATCCCAGGACCCTGGGATCATGACCTGAGCCAAAGGCAGACGATTAACTAACTGAGCCACCAAGGCACCCCCATGTAGTGCTTTTCTAAAAAAAATTATTTATTCATGAGAGACAGAGAGAGAGAGAGAGAGTGAGGCAGAGACATAGGTAGAGGGAGAAGCAGGTTCTATGCAGGGAGCCCAGTGCAGGACTCCATCCCAGACGAGGTGATCATGCCCTGAGCCAAAGGCAGATGCCCAACCACTGAGCCACCCAGGTGTCCCATGAAGTACTTTTGAACAAATAAACTGACCTGTATTCTTAAACATCAGTTATATATATATATATATATATATATATATATATATATACACACACACACGTACACACATATATGAGAGAGAATAAATAGGAGACTTAGTGGTTAGAGAGGTTAGAGAGAGACACAAAGCCTGGATTCCTAGGTACAGAGGGCTCCAAATTACTGGATGATTTTAGAGCTACATGAAACCCTTGCTAAACTCTATTCTACATGATTAGGCCTCTGTCATAGTCACACCACATGTCTATGCTTCATCAAATTTCCTCTTCTCTCAACTTTCCTATTCCTATTAATCACACCATATCATCCAGGATGGGAGCCTCAAGGAAATTTCTGACTTTAGGAAGAAAAGAAAATCAATTATTGATTAGCTCCACTAACAAAGGTTCTCCATCCAGAACCAATCTACTACTTATTTAGTTTCAAGCCTGGTTTTTCCTCACTTGGACTGTGTCCAGGCTCTCAATCACAAGTCCCTACACCCTACATGCTGTTGCCAGATTAGTCTTCCTAAATCACACCTCAAAGTACGGCCATCACCTTCTCAAGAACTTTTAATCACTTCCCATTTTTTATCTTACAATTCAAGGGATCAAAGAATCCAGCCCTAGCCACGGTTTTAGGCTTCTCTTGCTAACCTTTCCGTGGGAGCAAAGAAAAGGTAGGAAATGGACTATTATTCCCTAGAATGTCCTATGTCTCCCCCTCTATATGTCTTGGCTTTTATTTTCTCTCTGCTGAGACTCTTTTTTCCATTTTCCCAATGAATTTGAGCCATATTGAGTCTATAGGATCAGGGCCTAGTACCTAACCATATTGAAAGACAGAAGTTAAAAAAAAAAAAAAGAAAGAAAGACAGAAGTTAGTCACTTTGATAAAATTCAGTTTAGAATTTTTTCCTTTATTGTTTGTGTTTTTTAATTCTTTCTAGGAAGTTGTGGCTAACTCAGGTTCACAAAGATTATCTTCTATGCTTTCTCCTAGAAGTTTATAGATGTAGAAGTATGAGCCATACTATGAAAAGTTTTCATTATTTTCATGAAACAGTTAATTCAAAATAAGTTCATAAAACCTGCTTTAGTGAGAGAAGGAAATTTCATTACTGAAATAATATTCCATATGCAGGGTATATAAATATCAAAGTTATTAATTATACATTTCACTGTAATCTTGTAAGGACATTAACTGCTTCATATTAAGTAATGTTAAGTGCAAAAACCATAAATCTAGTTTAGAAATGTTGTAATTTATATTGAATAAACATATAGAAAGGTACAAAATTAAATTAAAATGTATCAAGGCAGGGACACTGGAATGGCTCAGTCTGTTAAGTGCCTGCCTTCAGCTTCAGGTCATGATTCCAGGGTCCTGGTATTGAGCCCCCACATCAGTCTCCCTGCTCAGTGGGCAGCTTGCTTCTCCCTCTCCCTCTGCCGCTCCTCATGAATGTGCTCTTTTGCTCTCTCTTACATAAATAAATAAAATCTTTCAAAAAATGTATCAAGGCAATGTTCTTTCAAGAATATTGGCAATTACTGAAAGAAGTCCATACATACATTTAAATCATTTAATTATGTCTTAATATTCAGTAAGCTAAAAACAAAAAACTTACTTTTCTCCTGCATGTCCTGATGAAGTTTCCTTATTTCTATCTTATGTCCCTCCTCTTTGATTTTCATTTCACTCAAAAGTTTGGCAATATTATTCTGATATTCCTAAAGATTAAAATATATATTCATTCCTCAATTAAATATGTATACAACTTTCCATTAATTAGAAAGGTGAAATTCTCAAAGTTTATGTTAATTTTTAATATGTAATCATATTTAGAGGGGAAAGATATTGTCAATTGCTTGAATAATCAGCTTTAAGAAGGACCAATTTCCGGTCCAAGGAGATAGAAACCATCTAGAGACAATGTCCTATCTTTGCTTCCTAAATACTCGTCATCACTATTTATCATAGATGCTCAAAATATTTTGTTAATTGTATGAATAAATGCCATGATAGCATTAAAATATGTCCACTAAAGCCAATGCTATACTTTAGAGCCAATAGAAGGTTCTTTTTGGTAACTGGCAACCTGAACCTAACATAGGATGAATCCTGTGAATGTGGCCTTAAGTTCTGTTTCTGAAAATTATATATACATTCCTAATTCCCAGAAGGAGGTTAAACACTATCCATGGTAAGGGTTAGCTTTATGAGGAGGAGGCTAGAGAAGGATGAATTTGGGAGTTGAGAAGTTCTCAACAGGTGCCTGAGACTGGCTTCTTAGATTGCTGAAGCACAGAAGTGATTATTGCACTAATGGGGAGAGAGGCATTCAGAGATGTGTTGGGAAGTGAAAGCCCCCAAAGATAAAATTTACAATTTTTCCAGAGGGATGTTTCTACATAAAGAAACCACTCACAGCCTAAGATGTAGGTAGGAAAAAGGAAAGAAGAAAGAATATAAGTAAAGTAGGACACTAATAAAGGTACATTAATGAAGGCAAGAGGTTCAAAAAAAGCTTCTAAAGTAAACATCATAAAAGCAGGGACTTTGTTTTTACTCCCCATTGTATCTCCAACTCCTAGTGTATATCTCTGGATAATATTTGTTGAATGAATAAGATGCCAATAAGAATTATTTAAGTAAAATCTCCTAGCCTAGACCCAGTAAGTGAGTTTTTAAAGATCCATTAACTTTCTGAAATTGTATGGAAGTTAGACACAGGTATATGCATGTGTACCATTGAGCACTTTTTCTCAGAAAGTGTTCATGGCTTTCTTTCCTTCCTTCCTATCTTCTCTTTCTTTCCTTATTAAATATTTTATTTATTTATTCATGAGAGACACACACAGAGAGAGAGAGGCAGAGATATAGGCAAAGGGAGAAGCAGGCTTCCCACAGGGAGCCCGATGTGGGCCTGAATCCCAAGTCCACGGGATGACGCCTTGAGCTGAAGGGAGATGCTCAACCACAAAGCCACCCAGGCATCCCTGTTCCCAGCTTTCAACAGGTATTCAGGGGGTATTGAGCAGGTTAGATATCTATAACTAAAAATAGAGGTATATTTGCCGAGATGATAGAAGTTCAAGGGGATATAGTGCGGATACCTACTTGTGCTACTCATCCTGCCTGGCAACTTGTAGGAATAGGCAAACCTATCTAATCATTGGCTTTGATTTAAGCTTGGTAGATGAATATAGGGGTGAATCTCATAAATTGCCATTTTTCACATGCATGTATCTAGATTTCTAGGTGGGCAGCTACAGAGTGGCTTTCATAAATTACTCCCAACTCAACTAGATGCACTAAGCATTTGCTGCTCTGAGAAACCCAAGAGATAAATCTATGTTTTCATTCCTCATTGATTTTGCTGCCAGAAGATGCCACCACTGAAATGGAAAGCTTCCATTAATTTGGAAAGACAGGATTTTCACTCTAGCCTCCAGGCATAAAGGTTATTTTAATGTATGGGCTCAGGCCCAGCTATACCTCACTAGGTTCTTCCCCTAACTTTAGCTTGTGTTAGTTCTGAGGAATCTGATTCTTTCTAAGGGGACCAAGTTGCAACAAATTATCCTTGGTTGCTTTCTTTTCATTTTCCTTCTGGGAACTAAAAATTTCAAGGGGTAGCCCCCTGGTTGTGTTTTTGTTTTTATAAAACTTAAGGATCTTCTATATACAAGTTACAAAACCTCTTTCCAGACTTAAAAATAAGGCCATTTAGTACCTCTTGAGTTTTTTCCTAGAGAACAGTTCTCCATATGTTTTAGATGTGCCTGGACATTTTGTATCAGAGACTTCTCATTGGATTGAGGTTATTTTTAGCTTGCTTTGAACAGCTGCTAATTAAGAACTTCTGAATCTTGGATTATAGTGTTTTCTCTTTAATTTCCACCACTTTGAAAACTATAGTACTCTAGGCAAAGCAACATTCTATGGCTTAATATTTTAGAAGAGAAAGGCAAAAATTTCTCCCACTTCTCTTTCTGCCCCAGAATATATATACCCTTTTACGTATATAGTTGAGCTTTAAAGGCAAATATGAAAAGAATGGGAAAGAAAAAAAAAAGGCATAAAGGAAAGGAAAAATAAAGGGTGGGATATATTCCATAGATATTTAAATCATCTCAAGTGAGGGAGCATGTTGAATTTGGAAATGATCCTTCAAGCTGGAGTTCTCAGTCTGATACAGATCCAATTTGAGTTTTAGAAATCTTAGGTCTGTCAGAGTTTGACATATTGGCTCTTGGGAGATGAAAAAAATGATCATAATATGCCTCACAAAGGGCAGGGGGAACTGATATTTACTCAGTACTTTTTATGTTCTAGGCATTGTGTTATCTGTTTTATAATTGCTGCCATATGCCATTTCTACAGAAGAAAAGAAAAAGTAACAGAGGGTATGCTAGCCTTTGGGAGATAAAATAACTGGTGATACACATAAAAATCTCCCTTCATTTGGATGATGTGATAAATTGCAATGGATTACTCAAGTTTGAATGATTAAAGATTTATTTATTCTATAATAAAAAGTTTAAAAGTGTTAATTAATAGAATATACTCTAGGGGTGCCTGGCTGGCTCAGTCAGTGGAGCATGCTGATTCTTGATCTGGGTGTTGTGGATTTGAGCCCCACACTGGGTGTAGAGATTAGTAAAAATAAAATCCTTGAAAAAAATAGGGTATACACTACAGTAAAAATTCTATTAATGTAATTTAAAAACATGTAACAAAAGAGTTGCATTTCTTTTTTGTGGAAAGAAAAAGTAATGTAAGTGATATATTAGTGTGTTATAGTCCGCAAAGAGACCAGAATCCTTCAAACTCTTATTTCTTTAAAAATCCTGGCACACATATATACATATCTATTTCCTCTCCAAATTTTGGCTGTCTTTCTAAATGAGAACAACTCCCCTTGTTTTCTAATTTGAGAAGACAAATGCTCTACAGGAATTTCATTGATTATAAAAATACATAAACTCACCTGTTCATGAGATTTTAACTTTTCTTTCATAAGATCAGCATTTCTTTTTAGTTGTTCATTTTCACCTGTGTAAAAATCACCAGATGGCATCCTAGTACGTAGCATTTTTAAATTAATATGACTTTTTACCAATAGCCTTCAGTAACTGTAACATTATAAATAAAGCAGGTGTATGGTTAGATTGATCCATATTTGAGGATTAGTCTAATTGGTATTACAGAATGGGTAAGGGAAATAAAACCACTGCCAGAAGAGAAGATAAATGATATTTTAAGCTAGATATCTAAGCTAAAAATGGAGGAAGGTTGTATCCTATAGCAACATTATTGAGAGCATAGTTAAATTCACTTAATGTCTTTTCATGTAAAACTTAAATAAGAAACAAAATGAATGAAATGTATTAATGTTTTGCAACTTTAATTTGCTCTATTGTTTCAGACCTACCATAGTTGGTATCTTTTTGTGTATAACCAAAAATCATCTCCTCACTCAGGATAATGAAGAAGGAGCGGTGCTTGACAAGTTTTTGTACTCATTCTTGTTAACTTCTAGGCATTTTAAGGAAAAGCAGATATACTTAGACCAGGAAAGAGCCCATTCTGATATAGGTGTGATGAGGATTCAAAACAAAGCTAGGATCTGTATGTAAGACAGACATAAAAGGTGCTCAGAGCTAAAATTAGGCCAGGAGTAGCATGGTGCACCCAGATTGTAATTCAAAACCATTGTGAAATAGAGTCCAGGGCTTGAGTTCAGTGACTAACTGGGACAAGTGACAAGGCTGAATCAGACACTAGACCGGGATAACAATATTTCTAGTTCTGAATTTAGAATCAGTTGTCAATATCCATAAAATAACTTGCCAGAATTTTGATTGGGATCATACTAAATTTATAGATCAAGTTGGGAAGAACTGACATCTTGACAATATTGAGTCTTCCTATCCATGAACATAGACTATTTCTCCATTTATTTAATTCTTTTTTGATTTACTTCATCAGATTTTTTTTTGTTTTCCTTATATAGATGGTATACATATTTTGTTATATGTATATCTAAATATTTCATTTTGGGGCTGTCAATGTATATAGCATTGTGTTTTAACTTCAAATTTCATTGCTGTATATTGGAAAGCAATTAATTTTTGTATATGGACTTTGTATACTGCAACCTTGCTGTAATTGGTTATTAGTTCCAGGTTTTTCTTTTTTTCCCCCAAATATTGGGATTGTCTACATAGATGATGTCATCTATGAACAAAGACAGTTTTGTTTCTTCCTCTCCAATCTGTATACCTTTTATTTCCTTTTCTTGTCTTATTGCATTAACTAGAACTTCTAGTTCAATATTGAAAAGGAATGGTAAGAGAGGCTATTTTGCCTTATTTCTGATCTTAGTGGGAAGCCTCTAATTTCTCACCACTAAGTATGGTATTAGCTGTAGGCTTTTATAGATTTTTTTTTTAAATTAAGTTGAGTACATGCCCTCTATTCCTAGTTTACTGAGTTTTTTTTTTTTTAAATCATGAACGGGTGTTGGATCTTGTTAAATAGTTTTTCTGCATCTATTAATAAGATCATCTTTTCAGTCTGTTGGTGCTCTGGATTAAATTAATGGATTTTTTTTAAATTAATGGATTTTTGAATGTTGAACCAGTCTTGCATACTTGAGATAAATCCCACTTTGTGGTAGTATATAAACCTACCAATGTATACTAATAACACAGTATATGTGACCTAAATTGAATTTAAATAGAATTTTTTAAAAACCTACATTGGTATTTGAAAACACTTTTTCAAATGAATTACTTGTTTTTTTACTTTTGTGTGACAAAATAACATGCAAAATTGTTTTACTGTTGTTTGTACTTTTTAAAAGGATTTATTTATTTATTTTAGAGAGTTATTTTAGAGAGAGAGAGGGAGTGCATGTGCATGCAGGAAGGAAGGGGAGAGGGAGAAGGAGAGAGAAACTCAAGTCTACTTTACTCTGAGCACTGAGCCTAGTGGAGGGCTCGATCTCCAGACTCTGAGATCATGCCCTGAACTGAAACTGAGTCAGAGGCTTACTGCACCACCCAGGTGTTCCTGTTGTTTGTACTTTTGTTGTGTTGTTGTTAAGAAAGTCATTTAAGTCTTTATTTCTTTATATAGTATCTGAGGTTTCCATATTGGTTAAAAAGATACCTCACAACTCTAGGTTGAATCCTGGATACAGCTAGTGTTCTATCCTGAATGTTAAGTTTTTATTGTTCTTTTTTTACATTGAAGTCTTATCCATCTGGAATTTATTTCTAATGCAGTGGGAAAGAGTCCAACTTTCTTTTCTCCTAGATGGAAAGCTAGTCGTGCCAGTACCGTATGTTAACATGCCATTCTTTTTCCAATAAATTGAAATATTTTTTGTGTCATATATTTTTAAAATTTTCAAACTACTTTCAATTTGAGCAATAATTTTTTCTTTAGGAGTAAACTAATCATCGATTAGCTTCCTTTCTCAGATAATTCTTTTATAGCTAGTATCTTTTTAAAAACATTATAGTGAGTGATCAATTTTGATTAATCATTTTGCTTACTATGATTGATTCTGTATAGTAAAGTTATACTATACATAATAATGTCTTTTTGAAAACTTACCCTGATAGAGTATAAAGGTCTAAATAAATTCAAGTAATTCAGGTTTAGTTCAGACAGGAAAAAAAAAGCAATATTAAATTGTAAGAAATTATCTAGAGATAACTGGCAAAAATAAGCTTGAATTCTACTTATTTTAGAGGTGCTTTGTGTTTACAGCTGATTTCATGTTTCTCTTCTCCATGACATCCTGCCCATGTGTTTGAATTCCTAAATTAAATTACTGAATTCTCTTTCCATGAACAAAAATCTCTGAATCTTGTTTTCTTTGCCCTGGTAGTAACTAACCATAAGTTAGATGGAAGAATGAAACTATCTGTCATACAATGAATTACTGGGGTTCTCCTAAACTAGCATATAATATACAGTAATATAAGATAGGAGAAATCCCTATCATTTTGATATGTTGTGATGAATCATACTCTATTTCTAAGGACCTATATCCATGCTTTAAACTCCAAACACACATTACTTCAAAGACTGGATATTATATCTGTGAAAAGATTGTATCCTTGACCACTGGTCATCTTTTTTACAAAAAATAACTATAATTCAGTAATGAATATTTTAACATTAACTTCCTGGGACTTCAAAATAACTTTAATATCTGGCCTATGTTTTATTTGAACAAAATCTTGGGAAGAACTAAGTTAAATACCATTTGACTCCTAGAATAAGAGGATTGTAAGGATAATGAACATTCACAAATTTTTAAGTGCAGTTAGGTATATTTAGTCACAGAGAAGGGAAAAGTTGTTCTGAACCATCAGCATTGAGATGGCAAAATGAAAGCTCAAACCAGGTGTGTGATGGCATTCAAAGGCTGAAAACAATGAACAGACTGCTAGAGCCAAGAAAAGTGAAAAATCTATGGGACATAAGGGTCAGAAGTCTACAGGACTAAGCCTAAATAAATAAATGGCATTGGAGATGGTATTCTCTATCTATTACCCTTCTTGATCTCTAGAACAGCTTTTAGTGGTGTATTGTTGGTAAAAAGAATCCTTTCTGTTCTGTATGCAGATACTGTTTGACAATGTAAATGTGAAGTCTTTTAATATATTTTTATATTTGTTTCATCAACACTTGAAGAAATATCTTAGGGTAAGGCAATGGGAGGGGGAGTAAGAACTAATAGTAATTCTTAAAGATAGATTTCAATGAGAATATTACAAAGACAACAAGGAATATCATGCCAAAGTAAATAAATGGTATGTAAGATCATTATTATGTTTCACCTACACTTGTAAAGTACTTTCTTTTTTTTTTTTTTAAAAACTATTTTTTATTTATTTTTTTTATTTATTTATGATAGTCACAGAGAGAGAGAGAGGCAGAGACACAGGCAGAGGGAGAAGCAGGCTCCATGCAACGGGAGCCCGATGTGGGATTCGATCCCGGGTCTCCAGGATCGCGCCCTGGGCCAAAGGCAGGTGCTAAACCGCTGCGCCACCCAGGGATCCCTGTAAAGTACTTTCTTAATGATAGAAATAGAGGGCTAAAATGAAACATTCTTATTTGATGTTTTATGTTGGGAGGGACTTTGAAGGCAATTTCATCTAATCTCCAATATAGTAGAGGAAAATCCCATAAACAGTGCACTGTAGCTAAGTCAGAACAGGACAAAACACTTGGTTGCTTTGTCCATTTTGTCAATGAATAGGCACATATGGGTTAGCATGACTAGCAAAAATAAGGTAAGCTGAAGGTGTTGGCTTCATTTACACAAACATAGCCTCAGTTTATGATAAAAAATTAAACTATCACTGCAGTTTGAATAGTGTATTTATTCATCATGTAACTACTAGTAGTACTTTTGAAGTACTACCCTTCAAAACTGAACAGAAGGACATTAAAGACCAAGAGTACTCCCAAGAATAAATATATTTCTAAACTTTTGAAATAATAAAGAGAATTATGGCCTATTATAAAACATTCTCTGATGTCCCTGTCAGAATATGACTGAATTGTTCTGTTCAGTGGTATTTCTTACTTCATAATAATTTAGGAAAGTAGGATTTGGTAGTGAGGAGTCCTGGTGTTAGCTGATGAATTTAACAAGACCAGATTTAAAAAGACACTGTTAATGATGTAAAAACTATTTTTAAAGATACTCAGATATTACATAATTTTAAAGATTTTTTTCTAACTTACCTCTCAAATTATGTTGAGATTCAATGGTCTGTTGTAGCCCTTTTATCATACTATGAAGAGTAGCACATTCTAAAGTATGAAAGACATATTTATTCAAAAATTATTTGTTTTCATTTTGGAACTATTCTCTCAAAGTTGAAAGACTTAAATAAAATACTTAATTAACAATTATGAGAGCTTAATAAAACAACCACCTATCTCAGAGTAAATAATGTAATAAGTACTTTTTAATTACCCTTGAAATCAAATGCATTCTGGGATTTGGTCATGAGTTTTCTATGCACAATAAATTCAGCATAGGAGGGATCTCCCGCTCCACATGGTTTAGCAATAGTTTCCCTAGATGGAAAGCACACTTGGACATGCCTGGGTGCCTGCATTCCAAGCATTTATCCCCTGATATGTGAATATTAGCTTTCAATATATTGTTGGTTATAACTAGTAGTAGCTAAACCTTTGGTCGGTAGCAACACAGATGGAAATTTCTGTAATCCAAGCAGTCCACTTGGCTGTAAGCTCCAGGATATCAGGGGCTATTTTCTGTTTGTTCACCATTTCTCCCTAATATTTAGAGTAGTGGCATTCCATAAACATTAGCCAAGTCATTGATTGACAGACAGGTAATATTCTAGTAAACTGAAGCAAGAAGGGGTAAGTGGAAAAGCTCTGGTCTGAAAATAACATATATTTGTATTCTAAGTGCTTTGAAAATATTGAATAATTTATCCCTCCTAACCCTATTATGTAGGTTCTAGTGTTTGCTTCATTTTATATATTTGGAAACTGACACACAGAAATTTAGTAAATTGCCCAAGATCACATTTATAACTAATAAGTGGTAGAGCTACAATTGGAGCCTTAGCAGTCCAGCAATAAAGTCTATGATTTAACTACTTTATTACCACAAAGAAGACCAGCTAAGGAGCACTCCTTTAGAGTAATATGAGTAGGTTGGAGGCCCTGGAGAGAGGGTAGGAACAGTATTAGAGAAAGACTCTTGATGATGGTTATTGCTGTTGCATTTTTACTAGAAGGTTAGGAAGCACAGGTTGCACTAGTTTAAGCTTACAATTATACTAGGTAAATATATAGTGATGAAAATGTCACAAAAGAATAACAATTTTAAAATATTAAAACTTGTAAAATTTAAGGACAATTTCACCTTTTTTCTTTTTCTTTTTTTTTTTTTTTATTAGGACAACTTCACCTTTATGTGCTTGGCTTAATAGCTAGTAATATGGAGCCTTGTTCTTCTCTTTCTTTCAGTTTTAAAGGCCCAAGATGGATATTTAGCCAGGATGCACTAGTATGACATATTGACTGGCTTTCATTCTAATTGAACATCTGTTTTGATGGTTAAATATTAAATACCATATTTGTATCAAATAATAAAAACTTATCTATGTATAATAATAATACCATTTATTGAACATTTACTCTGCCAGGCACTATACTAAGTGCATTATAAACATTACCCCAATTAGTATTCAAAGGGTTGCTGAGAAGTTGGTATTATTAACCTGATTTTACAAAGGGTGCAGTCATCCACAGGGGTTTGGTCACTTGCCCGGGATTCCGGATTTAGTAAATGGAAGGTATGGACTCGAACATAGGTTTTTCTCATTTCAAATACTACTGTTAATCTGCTATTCAATACTTTCTCAGGAATTAATTATATGATATTTTGATGAAACCATGAAACTTGGAGTCTGAGGGACTAGAATAAAGTTTCCTCTTTTTCACTCTCTAGCTATGACACAATGGACAAGTAACTTAACCTATTTGAGCTTTATATTCTTCATCTGCAAAATAAAAGTATGGGTAATACCTATCCTTCCTCACATGTAAGACTGTTTTCATATATAATAAGGCTGTTCTGACAAGCAAACGAGAAAACAATACTTTTTTTTAATTGGAGCTCAAAAAAAAATAAAATTGGAGCTCAATTTGCCAACACATAGCATATCACCCAGTGCTCATCCCATCAAGTGCCCCCCTCAGTGCCCGTCACCCAGTCACTCCAACCCCCACCCACCTCCCCTTCCACTGTCCCTTGTTTGTTTCCCAGAGTTAGGAGTCTCTCATGTTGTCATCCTCACTGATATTTTCTCTCCTTTCCCCTTTATTCCCTTTCACTATTTTTTATATTCCCCAAATGAATGAGAGAACACAATACTTTCTAAATTTATTCACAAATATTCAACATTGTTTTTATTTCTCTCCTCTCAACAACTTGTATATATCTCTTCTTTCCATTTCTCACATTTCATTTTAGTTATTTGTGGCTTCTCCCACTAGATGATGAACTCTTTCAAGTAAAGATCATATCTTATTAATTTTGATATTTCTTATACTTAATATGGTGACTGTTTCATAGGTGTTCAGAAATATTTTTATTTATTGACTAAAGGAAAGAACCAATACTGTGAGGGGAGAATGCAAAACTTTGCCTTCAGTTAGAGGTCCTGCACTGAGTCTCCACATACTTTCTTCAACTAATGAAAGTATTTTGTAGAAGTTAAAAGCTTTATGCAGATACAAAATTCTACTATTGTGGTTTTTCTCTCCACTGTGTATCTCCTCTACCATCCCCACCACCCACTCAAAAATCTCACCACCCTCCATTTTTATTCTTTTTCGGTATTCCCCAATAATAGAATGATGGTTAACTTATATTTGACATTGCCTACTTCACATATTACTATGTTAGCTGCTACAATTAGAAAAGTAAGGGGATGCCTGGCTGGCTCAGTCAGTGGAGCATGTGACTCTTGATCTTGGGTTGTTAAGTGTGAACCCCACCATGTGTATAGGGAGTACTTAGTATCTTTAAAAAAATTAAGGAGGCATAGACTCTACCATCTCTTCTCTTTGTGCCTTTTAGAGGAATAAATCCAGCAATTTGTGAAATATGGTAGCTGAAGCTATCTCAGTATAGTTGCCCCATGAGTAACATGGGGGCTAGAGATGCTAACTCCTGAGCAGTCAAAAATCTGCGTGTAACTTTTGACTCTTCAAAAACTTAACTACTGGGGTACCTGGCTGCCTCAGTTTGTAGAGCATGTGACTCTTGCTCTCAGGGTCATATGTTTGAGCCCCACATTGGATGTAAAGTTTAGTTTAAGACAAAAATAAAGTTCAGAAACTTAACTACTAATACTAAGCCTACTATTGGCCAGAACCTTCCTAATAACAAAGTCCATTAACACATATTTTGTGTTATGTATTATAGCCTATATTCTTATAATAAAGTAAGCTGGAGAAAAGAAAATGTTATTAGGAAAATCACAAGGAAGAGAAAATACCTTTACAGTATTGCACTGTATTTATGAAAAAACACGCGCATTTAAGTGTCATGGAGTTCAAACCTGTGTTGTTCAAGAATCAACTATAATCAGCAAATTGAAAACAGAGCCCTGAAACTGAAAGTATACAGAATTTTTGAAAAATGCATATTTTCAAAATATGAACACAAGGTGGCTCTCTCAACACTTTCTTTTTCCCCCAAAAGAAACTGGTTCAATAAAAAATCGTTCATACGATAGGATACTGCTCATTATTTTAGAATAAGGTTTTTAATTCTCTGTGTAAATCTTTACCCACGCCATTTCTATTGGACTTTACAATGAATACTATCCTTTCCAAATCTTAAAAGTTAGTTCAGAATATTAAGCTACTTCTTATATTGTATAATTGAGTAAATAAATGATTATTTTGAGCTCAAATTTAGGCTCTACCATTAACTAGCAATTTGAGTATTGACATCTATTTCACAAAGCACTTGGAAATGTTGAATACAATTATGCATGAAAAGGCTTTTTTTTAGCGCTTGGCCCTCAATACTAATATTATTATCATCTTGAACTGACACAGAAATTCTTTATCTTATATCAAATGTAGCCAATACAATATCATGGTCTTGTTCTTTATTGTTGAGCAAATCCAATCATATATGTAGTTCGTTCTTCCTCTCTAAATGAATTAGTACATACTTGACTCTATAAACTGTCATTCCCATTAGTTCTTTTACTTCTGCTGTGTATTATACAGTAAAAAGGCCATTAGATTGAGAATAAGTAAAACTCGATTTTTAAAAAGCATTTAATTATTTTTCTCAAATAATAAATACACATTAAACACAATAAAATAGTGAAAAATGATTATCTCTCCAATCTCTGCCCCTAGACCAGTTTCCCTTCCCCCAAAGCAAACACTATTACCAGGATGCTGATGCTGTTTATCTTTCCAGAGATATACAAATGTATGAGGGAGAAGATGTTCTATGTATGCAAAGATATTTTTATAAAAATGATAGCATACTGTTGTGAACATTGTTATTTTCATTTACTCTATCTTGGAGATTATTCTATATCACATGGAGCTACTTTATTCTTTTTATCAGCTCCTTAGTATTTCATTAAATAAATATGTCATAATTAATTTAATCAGGTTCCTATTGATGAATGTCACATTTGGGAAGGCCTTATCTGTACTAAAAAACAAACACAAAAAAAATCCACAAAAACCCATATTATCTTCTATTTTTTTCTGTGGTTTCATTTTTTCACCTTTATTATAAACTATAGTTTTAGATGTATAGAACAATCAGGAAGGTATTACAGATAACTGCCAAATATCCTACACCCAGTTTACCCTATTAACATCTAATATTAGTATGGTATGTTTGTTACAATTGATGAACGTGTTGATACATTATTAATTAAAATTTATGCTTTATTCAGATTTCCTTAGTTTTTTTTTTTTATGTTATGTTCCTTTTCTATTCCAGGATCTCATTCACAAATACCACATCACATTTACTCATTTTGTCTTCTTAGGGTCCTCTTGGCTGTGATAGTTTCTCAGAGTTTTCTTGTTTTTGATGACCTTGACAGTTTTGCAGAGTGCTGGTCAGGTATTTTGTAGAATGTCCCTTTATGGGGATTTGTCTTTTGCTTACCTCATAATTAGACAGGGCAATAGGTTTTTGGGAGGAAGATCACAGAAATGAAGTATGATGTGCATCATATCATATCAAAGGTACATACTATCAACATGACATCAAGTTGACCTCGATTGCTTGCCTTTAGTGACACATGTCAGGTTTCTCCACTGTATAGTTATTCTCCACCACCCCATTTTTCACTTTGTATATTTCACACAGTGAAGGAAATCACTATACACAACCCACTCTTCATGAGTGGGGCGTTATGATTTACCTCCTTGAGGGAAAACCATTTACATAAGTTATTTGGAATTCTGCAGAAAAGAGGTATTTTCTCATTTACTTATTTATTTATCCTTATCAGTATGGGCTCACAGATATTTATTATATACTTTGGGTTACAACCCAATATTACTATTTAGTTTGTTGATCAAATTGTTCTAGCTTTGGCCATAGAGAACCCTTTCAGTTCGCTCTAGTATCCCTTTGACATATCCCCATCATTGTAGAGTGTTTTATCTTTTTGAGCATTTTCCTGCTTTGTGGTACTACAAGATGCTTCAGGCTCATCTCAATATATTTCCTGCCCTAGTCCTAGAATCAGCCATTTCTCTAAGGAGCCCTGGTTCCTTTTATTGTAAAATAGTATAAGAAACCAAGATCTGGGTTCTTTTTGCTACTGCCCCTATTGTTTTTTGGTCCTCTGAATTGACATAGCAAGGAAATATCTGTATATGTTTGGATTTTCCCCCTCTCCTGACACAGGGCACTGATTAGTGAGGAGTGTTGGTCTGGGAAAAAGGGTGGCTGGGATGAACAGAGTCAGTGCCCATCCTGGGGAACATTCCTAAACATCAGGCTTTCCTCCATGCAAATTTAAGAGAAAACTCCATCACGGAAACCACCCCCCTCCGCAAGAGGATATAGCACTGTGACCTCCCAAGCAGCAGGAGTACGAGGGGCATCCAAGGTACAGCTGGGCCCAGGACAGCAGGGTTTCAATGTCAGGCACAGTCACACTGTCAGGGCACACCAGGAACTTCATGGTGAACCTGAGGGAATTCAGGTTTTCTTGACTCCATCCAGATGCCCTGAACTGGTTACATGGGAAAGCCAAGCACTACCGGGTCCTGGGGCTGGAGGTACAGCTGAAGCTCATTTGTCTGTGTGTAGTTCCAGACCACTGTGCCTCAAAGCAATGCGACATCCTCAAAGAGCAGCACTTACCCTGCAAAGACCCCAGGCTCTCAGGCTCCCAGCAGGCCAGCAGGTGGGCAAAGAAGAATAGACCACAAGTGAGGCCAGTATGGCTGCTGGGAGATGAGAGGCACACATGGCCTGGCTATCTCAGAAGAGAGGGGAGAGCTTCAGACTAGGACCCATCTGAAATTTCTTTTGGTGTAATTATGAGGCAGAAATTCAACTACTATTTTTTCCCATGGTTTTGAAGGCCTGGACTGAGCCTTGGATTTGCCATTTCTTAGTTTAGTGGCCTCAGACAGATTAACTTCTTTCATCCTATGTTTCTTCATTACTGAGGTAGATTAGTAATACCAGTCTTCTCTGTCTACCAGGGTTATATAAGGATAAAATGAAATAATAACCCGGAAAGTTCTACGCGAATTTAAAATATTTTACAAATGTATGGTATAATACTAATCACTGTTGTATCAAAAAACACTCTCATTAGAATTAGTATTACTTTAGGCAGCAAAAGTACTAACCTTCTTTAATTGAGACTTCCTTTGTTTGCATTACTTTTAACAAATAGTTAGTTTTTTCCAACTGCATATCTAGAATATTATTCTTTCCACTGGTTTCTATCATTTTCTGTAGAAGAAATAATATACATCATTACCAAAGTAACACTGCTATTTTGATTTTTTTTTATCTAATGAAATGAAGACTAATGAAAACATAAACCATTTAATACCTAAAAGTCTAATACTAAGTCTGGCATGTACTTTATGTAAGTCAACTTCCTAAATTATTTTAATTTTAAAAGTAACATGGCAAAAATACAAAACAGACCTATAAATAGTTATGAAAATAAAAAATATGACCTAACTTGAATCCCCTTCTTTCCAACTATTCAACTCTCAGTCCTATGGTTAACAATTCCTTATATATATTTCCAAAATATTTTATGACTATCAACTATAGGAAAAGATCATATTATACTCTGTTCTGCACCTTTGATATTCCATTTAGAACTGTTATCTTGGGGATGATGTCATATAAGCACATGTAGGACAACTTCATTCTTTTTAAGAGCTCCACTGAGTTTCATTTATGGGTATACTGTAATTTATTTAACTAGTCTCCCTATTGAGAATTTGCGTTTCCATTCTTCTGCTATTACGAATGATAAATAAGCATTCTTCACACATCTTTTTGGTATCTTTCTGCATAGTATAATAGCTGCCATATGCCTTTTGAACAGCTTCAAAAATTAATTGTATCATCTCTATCTCTACCCACTTCCTTATTCTGCTTCTGAATTTATCTCAAAGTAACTCCCTGACATTATACTAATTCATCCATAAATATCACCATCTACATGTATCTCTAAGAGATAGGAGATAAAATGTTTAATATAATCACAATACCATTATCACATCACAAAAATTAATATTTATTTAAAATATTTAAAGTAGATATTTCTGAATAATCTCCAAAAACTTTGCACCAATTCCTCTCCTACCACTAATACTTATTTCTTTCTCTATTCTCTATTATTTAATAAGAGTCACTTGGTTAAGAAAACTGAAGTTCATTGCTTTAAAAAAGTTCATAATGTTACCTCAAAATACCCATCGTCATGAAATTTTCTTATTATGGCCATACTATACTGTACAGAGGAAAAGAAGGAATGGAGAAGAATGATAAGGAGAGGTAGGTATTATTTCCCTTACCATTTTTGCTTCACAAACCCACTCCACAAATCTTTCATTTACTCACCTACATCTTTTCAACAGCTATTCCTATTCATCTCCAAGGCAGACAAGGGGGGAAAACACTAATATATACTTGTGGGTTTGGTCTATCATGTAATTTGTCCAGAGTTGGGGGGGGGAGACTTCAAATGGGTCTGTTTTTAGGCAAAAAGAGAAGGAAAAGGGAACAGAATAGGACAGAGTAAAAAAAATATGAGTCATAATGGTAAGATGTTGAGGATTGAGTATGAATATTTCAATTCGTACTAAAAGATTCCTGGGTTTATGGACATTTTGAACATTAAGGATGTATTTTTCTTTTAACTTCAGCCTAAAGTATATCCACTGTTTCCTTGTCCCAGAAACATTTTGATATAGTAGTACAAAGATCCAAAATGAAATATATTTCAAATATGGATTTTAAAAATGAAAAAGGGCTTAGCAAAATAGATTTCCATTATTTTTACCTTGATTATTTTTTGGTACATTTTTCTTTCTTCCCAGCTTTCCACTGGTAAAAGCTGTTTCACTTTTCCTTTTTACTGTAACTGTTTTATATCTTTACATACCTTTTCTATCTGTGAGAAGTCATGTATAAGTTTGTCAAGATTCACACTGCTAATCTTTTTCATACATCCTTCGCTGCTTTGATTCATGTCTAAACTAGTGAAGAATAAATAGGGTTAGAAATGGATGAAATAAACAAAAGCTAAAGCACCACAATAGTGGTAAGAACTCAAATACTAAAGTTTCTGTATTCCACCCATAGAGTACCTACTTGAGCTCCATTGCACTCTGAAAATTTCTGTATACTCATTATTAATAGCAGACAAATGCATTAAGCCTTCCCTATTCCTCTCCATGCCACCCCAGTCGTTTTCTCTAAACAAATCTAAAATTAGTGCAATGTTATATGCATATGTAGAAATTATTTGTTCCTGTTACACAAAAAACTATGCCATCATGGGATCCCTGGGTGGCTCAGTGATTGAGAGTCTGTCTTCAGCTCAGGGTGTGTGATCCTGGGATTGACTCCCACGTCAGCCGCCCCCCCCCCCAGGGGAGCCCACTTCTCCCTCTGCCTGTGTCTCTCATGAATAAAATTAAAAAAAACCAAACAACTATGCCATCGTTCAAGTCATCTCTATGCCATCAGTATAACTGGACTTAAAATCTGGTGCGTTGTTAAATCTGATTGTGTGACTTTAAAATACAGGTCTTCTCAATTTAAGATGTTTAAAATGTTAGCTATAATGCCACAGAAACTTTTTGCTGGATGTCCTGGCAGCGTGCTTATTGCTGTGGACTGAATTGTGTCCTCCTGCCCCCCAAATTCCTTTGGGAATAGCCAGCTAACTGTTGAAATGAAAAATGAGTTTCAGTCCTATGGAACCAATCATAAGAAATTCTACAGAATTCCAGAGGCAAACTCATCCAGTCAGGATGAACAAACAAATTGACTTTCGCAAAACTACCAGATTTTATATTTGGGGCTAGGAGAGGGTCTAGAAGAATTAGGATTAACACAATCTAAAAGTATGAGACACTTGTCTTTAGGCTTTTCACAAGCAAATTGGAAGAAGAAAATATAAATTTTAAATTTAGGCATCCTAGATTGAGGAAAGATCAAGTGTCAATGCCTGGTGCGTGAAAGTGGTAGTGGCAGCTAGTCCAAAGAAAAAGGCAAGTACAATTCCTAAAGTAATTTCAGGGGTCACATTCTTCTTTAAAATGAGGTACACCAAAACAGACATTGCTTGGTCATCTGTCATTTCACAAAGAAATCTCATTTCCTTTCTCTTTTTGATGTTCTATGACATCAACAACTATTAGCAGTTTTTAAGTGAACGAATTTTAGCTGTATTTTTCAGTTTACTGAATTATTATTCTCCATCACACATTCAAGTAAAACGCTCTACAAAATCCCTTAAGAAGTCACAACTTGATCTTTCAGACAGGTGAATGGCTTTAATTGCATCCCATGATACATACAGCAAAATTCCTATCGTGTAAAATTCAAAAATCATCACTACTTGAGAAGTTGTTACTCTTTAACAGAACTATAGGATAATCTGAAGTAGTTAGCGCAAAATTTCCCCTCTCGACTTTTTTTTTCTTTTCAGTTCCTAACATTTTAAGTAAAAAGGGTTTTACGATGGTTCTGTCTCAGATGCCAGCTCTTGAATGGAATTCATTTTAAAAAAATAATATTAAGCCAGAGCATTCTTTTATTTTTAAAGATTTTATTTATTTTTTCATGAGACACACACAGAGAGAGAGAGAGAGAGAGAGAGAGAGAGAGAGAGAGAGAGAGAGAGAGAGGGAGAGGAAGAGACACCGGCAGCGGGAGAAGCAGGCTCCCTGCAGGGAGCCCTAGGTGGGACTCCTGGGACTCGATCCCGGGACTCCAGGATCTCACCCCGGGCAGCAGGCGGCGCTAAACCGCTGGGCCACCCGGGGATCCCCTTGAATTGAATTCATTTTCATTTCAGCGTGGTTTTCTCCCAACTCCTGTCCTCTAACGAGGCTCTCCGAGGGTCTTTCTTCATAAAACCTTCGCTAATACTCCACTGGCTGTTGCTGCAGGCTTTCCGTTGCGCAGGCGTCTGTCACACAGGCTGCAAAGCCCGCCGGCCCACTCCTGGGTGTCTTCTTATCCTCCGTTCCTTCCCTTCCAGCTTCCTTGGTCAAGTTCTCTCGCAGCGGACGTGGCCTTCCTGGTCCGTGAACCTCGGAGACGAGGGGGTGATTCGGAGCTGGTCCAATTCCTTGCTGAGCAGCAGGGACGGCCTAGTGACCTTCGTGGCCCAGCACCGGCCTTCGCCTGGGTGGGCGCCAGCCCCGTCTTCCTCCCTCTTCCGCGGGGTAGCACCTGGGCCTCCCCGGCTCCCTCCCCGCTCCCCGCTCGCCGGCGCCCCGCGGGCCCCCGTTCCCGCCCCTCCCCGCCGCCCTCCGTGAATTCGCGCTCAGTCCCAAGCCCGGGGGGGGGGGAGGCTGCGTCGCCCACCCGCGTCCGGGGGGCCAGGGGAGCCCCACTCTCGGCGGGATGTGCACCGCGGGGCCCGAGGGCGGCGGCTGGCTCAGAACCCCGCCGGGGCTAGGGGACTGTGAGGACACTTGACGAAAAGAATTTCCAAGGACAAAGTGGGAACTTCGAACCCACCGACGAGAAGCCCGGAGCGTACTTGCCGCCGCTCCCAAGCGTCCCCGCAGTCTCGAGCGTCGCTTCCTCCCGGGCCCGGTCCGCCGCACAAGCTGTCCCTCCCCGGAAGCCAGTCCTCCCCACCCCCGCGGGCCGGCCTGTCTCCGGGCCCTACCTGTGCCTGGGCCTGTGCTGCACTTCCTGTTGTCCCCTCGCTCCCGGGCCCGCGCCCCCCTCACTTCCGGTGCTCCTGCGAGAGGTTCTCTGGTTTCTAGGACAGGACTCGACCGCCAGACTCCCGGTGGCTGCCGGGTCCATGATGATTTCCCCAGGCAAAGAAGACGTCACATTGGCTTTCGGTTGTTTTTAAGATTTTGTTTATTTGAGAGAGGGCGAGCCGGAGAGGGAGAAGCAGGCTGCCCGTCCAGCGGGGGGCCCAGGCAGGCCGGACCCCAGGACCCTGCACTCAAGATCTGAGCCACCCAGGTGCCCCTGGCTTTAAGTTTTGCTCAGTGAGTCAGCCCTATTAAATAAATAATAAGCCATGTGTATTCGAGTAAGCCTACCTACGGAGCAGGCTTGGAAGGTACCCGGGACTGTGCCACGTGGCGGAGACGCAAGCCTGAATAGGCTGCCGGCTCTGCAGGCCGGACCAGGACCACCGAGTGGAGCTGGGCTCCCACCTACAAAGCTTTATCTTGGTCACTTAATGGTTAAGGGCATAGGGTCTGCGTGGAGTCAAGCCCCCCCCCCCCCAACCCTTTTGTTTACCAACTTGGGTGATCTTGGGCAAGTTTGTAAGTGTACTTGCCTCCACTTGCTTGCCTATCTGTAAAATAGCCACGAATAATAATGCCTAACCTCATGGGGCTGCTGTGATCATCAAAGGAGTGGATGCATTTTAAAAGGTGCTGAAAGCACTTCCTGGCATAAAGTAAGTGCTCAAAAATATTAATTAGCTCAATCACAAAATTTTGGCCAATAACAGCTTGGAAGTGTACTACCCACTGCCAACTTTGCCCTATCTACTTTATTTGAGTGGGAGAGGAGAGATGTATTTTTATTAATTTCGTTTCTTGTGAAATCCGAAATTTGGCAAGCAGATACATGTAGACTTGTAATAGGATAATCCATACTTTAATTATTTGAAAGGTAGTTTAGCATGGTGGCCGGAGAACTAGATCAAAGTAGGAAATGTGGGGTGGAGTCGGCTGTCTGCAGTTAGTAATCTGGGAAGGTTGATTCATCTTCCCAAACCTCCACCCCCCCCACTCCTTCCCCCCCCCCAATTTTAAAATAAGAGCAGTGAACTAAATTACAAAGCTAACATTTTAGGATTTTAAACTGGTCTTATGAGAAAATATTGCTCTTCAAAATGCTTTTTTTAAAATGTAATTTTCTTATGTTTTTTAGCTCATTAATTTCACACTATATATATTGTTAATATGTATATTATTTATTCATATATATGTTTATATATATATATACACGTTAAATTTTTAACTTCTGACTACTCAGTAAGCTTTCCTTGACATTAATAACAACACATAGGGATATTGAAAATGGCCTTTTGATTTGCTGGTTCTATCCAATTAGCACATTTAAGTGTTCCATGTAACTCATATCATAATCGTTTTTGAAGTAAGCCCATTTTAGGACCCACCAAAAATGCTACCATCTCCTTAAGGCATTCACTCATTTCAATCAGCTGTGACCTACCTTTCCTTGCTCTATGTTCCAGTTCTCCTTTGGACCATGCTGGCCTTCTTGTGGCATTTATTAGGGCTGTTTGAATTGCCATCTTTTCTGCTGTTTGGTTAGCTTCTTGGGGGAAGAAACTCTATATTTTACACATGTATATAATATATATATATATAAAAATATATATATTTCTCCATAGTGCCTAGCATAGAATAGAAATGAACCAATACACCAGAAATAAGTCAGAAAAATTTAGATTTTTCTAGTTTAAAATAAGTCATAAGCTTCTCTTCCAGTTTATAGATACTAGCTTTTTTCCCCCCCAGAGTCTAGGGAGTTCAAAATATGCCTGTCAATGAGAAACTATATGAGCTCCTGATTTCATTTTTAAAGACAGCATGTCTTTCACAGTTGTATTCACAGTTTTATTGATCAAGTATCATCCAATTGAGAAACGGGCTTCATTGAGTATTTGCTCAGAAACTGCCTAGAAAACTTAAGACAGGAATAAACTACATTATTGTAGCATACTACCAAAGGGAATATAAAGAAAGTAGTGTTTGAATCCATTAAAAAAACCCTGATTTGGAAAATAAACATGTGAACCTACCCAATTGTAAAAAAACAAAAAACAAAAAAAACAAGGCTACTGATTTATTCATATAAGGTTCTTAATGTGAGAGATACATTGATTTTTTTTTTTTAGGTTACAAACAGCTTCATTTATTATTTCATTCAAAAATATTTGTTAAGTACTTGCAAGGTACCAGCTACTGAGGGTCTAGACACTATGGAGAGGGAAAGAGAAGTGAG